AAGTGGCTCTTGTAATTTTCTAGGCATTATTTTTTTTTCTGATTGAGTTTGATCAGTGGATTTATCCATTAAAGAGCTCATAGCTCAATGTGACATTGGGAGGTGAAGCCTGATGGGAGAAGTCTGTTTGGGGGTCACTGGAAGGGTGTATCTCCCTCTCTCCTTCCTTGATTACTCTTGGCTTCCACTACTAAACCATGAGCTCTTTGTCCTCTCTGTTATGCTGCCCTGCCTTGCCTTGGAGATAGTTGACTATAGAGCAGTAGGCTATGGACTGAGACCTCTACAAACTGTCAGCCAAAATCAAACCTTTCCACCTTTGAATTGTGGGTGTTGGGTGTTGTGTCTCTCCAGTGATAAAGTAACTAAGCCAGAGTAGAAACAATTAATCTAATTAAATCTTGACCCTTGACCCTTGAGTTCATGTTGTTGTTTTTTTGTTTTTTTGTTTTTCCATATGCTGGGTGACAACTGCAAAGCACCTATGAAGTACTTTTCTCCATCTTATCTTAAAGTGGTTGCTCCAGGGAAAAGTACATGTATCATTGGGTTTTGAACGGAAGTAGCTGCTTTTTCCCATAGCACTCTTGTGGGGGGTGGGGAGAGGACTTATTCAGACTTGGGTATTTGGAAGATATTTTCTTGAAAATGAATGAAATAAGGCTGAGCCTATCACTTCAAGAAAAACATCTGACAGTATTTCTTGCCAATGATAATATGTAAACTTTCTGGCAAAGATTAGAATTTTGGAAAACATGAATCTGCTACCATAATTTGACAGATTCTCAATACTGAAAAACTGATGAGGTCAGTGGTGCTATTACATGGCAGTAGAACATGTGATTTTTTAAAATGCTGTACAAGAAACTGTATATTTGGACTACCTGACTCATCTGAGTAGATCAATATTTTCTAAATGACCACTGCACCGTGTTCCAAAATCATGCACTAGTAAACAGATGATTGAAGATACCAGGAAAGTTTAATTGATACGATTTCATATTCCACATTTAAAAATCCTGCCACTATTTAAATTGGATGTGGTAAAAAGAATCTAAGCATAATAATTGGAAAAAGCTAAAAACAGCCTTCTCTTTTCTAACTGTGCATCTCCATGTGAGATCAGATTTTCAACCTTGTACTTCAATCAACACTTCATGTCATTCATTGAGCCATGTCTCCCTACTACTCTCTCCCTTCTCATCATCTCCCTACTCTTCCTGTCATCTGGTAACCACTTTTCTACTTCCTACTCCTATGAGATCAATTATTTTTGATTTCACATATGAGTGAGATTATGCAGTATTTGTCCCACTGTTCCTGGCTTATATCACTTAATGTAACGTATTCACAGTTCCTCTGTTGTCTCAAATGACAAAATTTCATATTTGTGGCCACATATACTCCATTATAAAAATAATAAATGTTGAAAGTGACAGATATGCAAATTGCCTCACTGATCACTATATAATGAATGTATCTATTTAAACATCACACTGTACTCCCCAAACATATATAATTATGTGCCAATTAAAAATAAAATAAAACTTTAGAGCCACGTGTGGTGGCACATGCCTTTAATGCGAGCCTGCAAGAGATTGAGGCAGGAAGAATGCTGTGAGTTAGAGGCTAACCTGGTCTACACAGTGAGCTCATTGTTAGCCCAAACTACGTAATAAGACCTCACCTCCCAAAAATCAAAACAAAGAAGAAAATCAACAGGTGCAGTGCAGAGCAGATATAAGAATCTAGCTTTTATTAAGCAAGACACTAAATATTTGCAAAAACTATAAGAAAATACTGTACTGTTCTCACTATTGTTCTTTTGAAAGTATACAGTTTTAAAACAATATTGCATTTGTGTTAACATATGGTGTATTTATTGTTGTTCCTGAATGAATTAATATGTATAGCACATTTTTAGTTTAATTTCTAATACAACAAATATAATATGTATAAACTACAGAAAAAGAATCTTCTTAGGGTCCTTAAGAATTCTAAAGAGCATATTATTATATATTGAGGCCCATTGGAAGGAAGACCATACATAGATAAACTTGATAGTCCCAGCTTTGTACTCTAGAACCTGCTTATACACAATATGATATACTCAAAGTTCCTCTGTGTTGTCTCAAATGAAAAAATTTCTAAACTAAACCCAGAGCTATTTTTCATTTAACTTATAAAGTTTGGCCCTTGTAGTATTTTTAAAAATTGTTGAAACTTGAATGTGTTCTTAACATTTCAGGATTAAAAGATTTTATGAGAAATAGGAGATGTTTCATTATCTTGAAAAACAGCAAAGACTGGCATTGGGGTCTGTGTTCTACGTGGCCTTTGGGGCTGGGCAGCAGCTGCCCTCTTCTGGGCATGCTTTCTAGTTCTCTTCCATTCTTACCACTTCACTATGTAGTGCTCTTTGCTTAAATCTCTTCCTCCTGTGTTATTTGCATGGTATGCTTAGCTCTTTATTGGTAATGTCTGATGTATATAGTTTTCTTGCTTTCAAGAAGGTGAGAAGATCTGATTGTATATGGAGAGGTCTACCATTCCTATCAAAAGATGGCAAGAGCTCACAATAGGAAACTATGAGACGGATATTTCTGAATTTGGTCAAAGGCTTGTTTTAACGCTCATTTTTTTTCCATATTTCCTAACACTCTGCTGCTTACTATGTCAAGTAGTATTAGTGCCATCAGGTAGCTGAAATGAGGGTTATAGAATGAGTTTGGATTTAGCATCCAGAGTATGTGTATTTGAAATCTTTTCCTACTCTTTGATAGTTGTATGACCTTGACAAGTTATCTAAACTCTGTGTCCCCATGTTTGTGTTGGAAAGATTAAGAGATTGTAGGTGACAAGCGCTTAGAACAGTACCTGTTACACAGTAATCCTTTGTTTAGACTAGATGTTTGGGTCCCCCCAAATCTATATATTGAAATCCTAGCCCTCAATATGATGTTATTCCTAATTCTTATGTTAATTCCGCCTAGGTGAAGACTTTGAGGGGTAATTAGGTAATGAAGGTAGTGACTTTGTGATGGGATTAGTACCTTTATAAGAACAAACTAGAGAGCTTGTTTTCTGTATGCATCATGTGAGGATATAGCAAGAAGATGGTCATCTATAAGCCAGAAACAGAGCTTTCACCAGGAACTTTGACCATGAACATCCTTGATTCCAGAAGAGTGAGAAATAAATTTCTGCTGCTTAAACCACTTGGTTCATGATATTCTATAATAGCAACTTGAGCTATTATAACCCCCATAATTGTTATATTATTTTTATTATTCTTTTGAACTAAACTTGAGTCTGGTTATGAAAAGGGAAGTAAATTACCTTATGATTTTGCTAAGCAAACTGCAGTCTATTCTTCCCACCTAATTTCATAGATTCCAGGAATTCCAGCATGAGTGCAGAAATCCCAGCAGATATTTTAAAGTGGCATGGAGCATCAGAGCATGGCACTTGTGAACAGCTAAAAACACTGAAATCACCTGTTAAATCTACAATGAATTAGAGCTTGACTACAGGGCACATTAACAAATCTTTTCATTTATTCACTCATTTTATTAGTCATCTCTGTATTCAGTAAGCATCTACTGAGTGCTTACTATGTATGAGGTACACAGACATGGAAGTTCATGTTCTGGTCTGAGGTTAGAAACAACCATATGATATTTCTGTAATATAATATGCAACTATTTTAATTCCTTGTTAGAAGCAATAATCCGCATTTCCATGGAATTGTGAAGAAGATATTTTTAATCAGAAGCAACTTCATCCAAGTGAAGTAAGTCACTGATAGGACATTGCCTTGAAAAGAGAAACAAGACCACAACTTTTAGAAAAAAAGTTCTGTAAGTACCCAATTTATTCATAAAACAATACAGCTTAAATATTTATGACTTTTAAGTCATACAGTTTTTTACCATCATTCCCAAAATGTTGTGCATTTGGTTGACATGTATTTGCAAGATTAGGTTCTATAATTATAACTCTGGAGATTGTACAAGGCATTTAATTTGCTTATTAATACCTCCCCCTGTCAAACAAACAACAAACTGATTATTTAGCCTTGTGATTTACTTCACCATCTCTCTGACCAAAAATAAGTTTTTTTGTATGTGTGTCTTTTATGTTTGCAAAACGCTTGTCCTTTTCTCTGAGAGAAGATTATACAACTGAAACATTTATTGTTTCATTCAAGACTAGCCAATCTATATTTAAAAAAAAACACCTCTATGCTAAACAATGATTTCAGGTATTTCTGCCTGTAGAATTTGCTCTCAGGAATGATTTTAAAAAGGCAAAAAGAAGCTCCACATTAAGCTCCAAGTGAAGGTAATAGAACTGATATCCGAGGAGTCATATTGCATGGCCATTCTCTTTGGATCAGATTCTATTGTTGTGGTTCCACAGACTCTTTGAGGTCATTCCTTAGGGGTTGATGTAAAAATGGAACCATCCATGCAGCTGTGTGGATGCCTCCTTTAAGAAAGCCAGGAGGAGTACTAGCTGGTCTTATTGAAAGAGGGGGTGTGACTAGAAAGCAGTGAGACTGGTTTGAGGTGTGCAGCATCTGGAATCAGTCTCACTACTTTCTACTCTCACCTCTGAGAAAGGCAGGACCTGTGTGCTATTGGCAGGAAGAGTGTGGTCTTAAGCAGACTTGGAGCTTCTCTGTTTTGGATGGTCTCTCTCATGACATCCTAATGTCTAGAGCCCCATTACTCTCAGTGCAATCCAAGGACTGCATGAGCATCACCTGAGATCTTGTTAGAGGTGCAAACTCTCAGGCCCCACACAGATTTGCTGCACTAAAAATCTTGATTTTTAACAGGAAGTCTTAGGTGATTTATGTGAACAGTAAAGTGTGAGAAGTATTGGGTTAAATGCCTCAGACTTACTTCAAAAAGTCTGCCTTTGTGGGTGGATAATGTTCTTTAGTAGAGAGACCATTTTTAGCAAGGAGGAATTATAGATAACAACTGCAAAAACAGTGTGAGGGTTCTTTTTTATTATTTTAAACATGCAAAATACAGTCCATGCATCTGCCATTTTGAAAAGTCTCTCATCCTGTAGCAGATAACACCAAGTATGTTTTGGCTATCAACATTCAATAAATGTTTCAAAATGCTTTATAGTGTAAAGATAATAAGAAATTTAGCAAAATTTCAACAAACCTGTATAAAAAATGGATACATATACCATTTTATTTCAAGGTGACATGCTGTAAAGAGTAAGTCATTATTTGTATTTCTTTGTAAAAAGTCTTTGACAACAACAAGGGTTTAATTATATCCAGGCCTTGGGAGCTACACATGCAAAAAAAAAAAATAGTGAAAAATCACCAAAACGTGCTATTTTTAAATGTGTATTAATTTTTAAATACAGGTATAGAAGTATTAAATAGTAGCAGGAATAATATTTCAGAACTCTGTAAAAGTGTGCGGAATTCATGGTGCTAGTGTCCTGGAAGACTCATAGACTTCTGATGAACATTTTGGTTTAATCCCTTTGCCATTGTAATAGTCCACAACTTGGTTTGGGACTTCCGCCAACACACTCTTTGCAAGAGCAGCTGGAGATGCCTGTAGAGAAGAAAAGATTACTATGACTTTGGCTCCTGGTCAAAAGAAGCTGCTTCACACCCAGGCTCAAAGATTTGAGTGGCTTGTTTGAGAAGTTCTGAGGAGCTAGTCTCTCATTCATTCATTCATTCATTCATCAGTCCACTCATTTTGATCTACTTCAAGCAAGTGTTGTCAGATTATTTGGAACATAGGCTCTTAATTTCCTCATTCTTTTTTTTTCTTCATTCTTGATTCAAAATATACAACTATTCACATATGAAGATGTGGGAAATTTGAATGGCAGATTGAATGTCCTGCAATTTTGTTTCTGATTTGCATTAAGATCTTGGCACCTGTTCATGGTCTAGGCACTACGCTAGGGTTTATAAATCTATGATTATTTTTCCATCAGGAAAGATGTTATCATGTGAGGGAGGCTCACATGGCCAAAATTAACCCTACTATGAGGTAGAACATGAAACATGTTATAGACCAGCATTACATTGCATAAGAGCTTATCAGCAATGTTTATTTTTAGACCCAACCTGAAACTCCTGCATTAGAATCTGCATTTTGACTCTTGGTGACTGGTAACTCCATACGATGTTGAAATTTGAGAAACATTGCTATAGAAAAATCACACTCTGAGCAGAGAATAGGAAACAAAGGGACTAAATTATAGGGGAGAAAATGACAATAGGCTTCCAAGAGAAGATTGTATTTAAGTTGGACATATTTTTAAAATGCTCAGAAAGGGTAGGGAATGGCATTTGATCATTTTAGAGATAATGAGTCATCCGATGGGGACGAAAAAAGTGTTTGTGTGTGCCTGGGATTGCAGATTGGTAGGTATTCAGTTGGAAAATAAGCTTGAGGCCAGGGTCTTGAACACCACTCTAATTTATCCTAATCTTATCAGCATTATGCATCTGCTGTATGATTTTGGGGCAGGACACAGGACCATGTGATTCTGCAACAGGAAAAGGTTGAAATTAACAGTGTACATATACTCTGGAGTCACATGGAGCTGGATTTGACTCGGAGCTCTTGCATTAAGCATTAACTGCACCTCTCTTCCATCCCCAATGGCCAAGCAACTTCAATAGCCTGAGCATTAACATTATCTATTATTGCAGAGGTTGGAAGCTTGGAAAGATAACCAGTTAACAAGTGTTTGAAATTCCAGAAGACAACAGGGCTAAGTGTCAGGTGGAATGCATTTCTAGTTTGTTTTTTTCCGTGGTTGGCCACTCAGTACTTCAGCCTTGCTAAGCCTGCATGTTCTCAGAGGCAAACAGGAAGGAAATGATTTATTCTAAGACAATCTCCAAATAAGACACAGATATCTTTAAAGATCTGAAAACACTATGAAAAGTTTTTCTACAGTGATCTCTCACATTTTAAAGATGTTAGAACATGTTGGGAATTCAACGTCCACAGATGCTCTTTTACTTTATAAGTAACTGCTCAAGGGTTATGTGTTAGATATGATCCATTTGTCCATAAGGGCAGATACAAAAGTCATTTCCAATGTCTCCCTGGTGAGCTCTTATATAAATGTTACTATGCCAAAATACTTGATTTCCCAGCCTTCCTTGCACCTACAGATGAGCACGTGACCCAACTTTCAGATATAAGTAGAAGTTGCCTAGAGAATATTTTTTAGAAACTTCTTTACCTGGTTAATGGGGATGTACATGGTTGGCTTTGTTTCCTTTTTTCTCCCTAAACTAGAAAGTCATTTCCAGTGCTATAAGAGCTATTATAGTATTATGAGGGAGCATGAAAGGGAATCATAAACTGCTCACTGTAAAAGAAGAAATTGCCAGTAGCCACTAGCCTGCATGTTCAGGCTACATAAAAACAGAATGTTTGCTCAATGTAGGGACAGTTGGCATTTTGGACTGGATAATTCTGAGTGAGAGATTGTCTTATACATTGGAGGATGTTTACCTGCATCCCTGGCTTCTATCCAGTAGAAACAAGTGGCTTTCCACTTTTGTCACCATCAAAATATCTCTGGATATTGTCAAATCTTTCTTGGGTAGTGAGGCTTGGAGACCCTCTTTCACTTAGCCAGTGTTCTTATGTGGGAACTTCTTTCTTGGGAAAGTGGAAGACAGGATATTGTGGCACAATTTCTCCTCATTGTCATACATTGCTCTGAGAGCTTACGGGGGCTGCTGCTGCTGCCAAGTAAAACCACTCACTTACACCACTGTAAAATGGATTTTGCTATCACCTGTAGCCACAAGGTTACTAAAAAGGGGTTGTCACATACAACTGTCTGAAATGAGGCAAATATTGTTTGAAAGTCCAATATAGGAATTACACCCTTAGCATGAATGAGGAACTGAGTTGCAAATTTTAATTTTTAATAAAATTAAGTTTAAATAACCACATGTAGTGAGTGCCTATCCTACTGGAAAGACAGGTCCTAAGTGGTTCCCATCTCTTGCATATCTGCTGGTGGCAAACATGTAAGGCTTCAAGGACATTAGTTGGTTGGAAGAGATGACAACGTATGTGAAATCAGTTCATAATAACAGTAATAAAAGCTGTTTATATTAACCCCCTACATGTACCAGGCACTGTGCTAAGCTTTAAATAGGTTCTATCTTTACTTTTCCAATGAATTTACCTTATTTTATAGATGAAATCTGTGGGCAGAGAAGTTAAATAACTTGCCCAGAGCTATATAACTCAGAACCTTGGTCTGTCTACTTTAAAGCTCTGAGTTATACAGAGCCAAAAAAGACAGGCAACTCATATTTTACCGCTTTATGAAATGATAGGAATGCCTCACCTTTTTTATTTATAGCTTATTGAATCCCAGATTAGTTTGGATAATGAAACGTTTTTCAAAATTTAACTTGAAATTTATGAAGATAAGGTGGTGAGTATGTTCCTAGCTCTCTGCCTTGGTCATCCCCAGAGGATCTGCCTAGCACAGAGACTACCTCTTTTAACTAGTTTGAGGCACTTCTCTTGTTGCCAAGGCTCCTTTAGCTTCTGGCTCACCTAATATCTGTCTTTTCCTCAAATACCCAGCCCAAGCTGTGAGCTTTTCTGTATAGCTCCTTCTCTCTGCTTTAAGTCCTATAGAAACGTTTTGGTTCTTCTCAACCACTCATAATTTGCTTGGCAGTGGTTTTCCAGCTCAGACGCTATCTTTGTCCTCATGGACTTTCTACACTAGCACATTCTTCAAGGCCTGGACACATGATTGTATTATCTTACTGTGGTCCTAGTATGTGCTTTGCACAGCAGGCAGTGCATGAGTGTTTGGGAGAGAGGAGGAAGCTTGGGGTAGAGGTGAGAGCCTTTATGACTCAGTGGCATTGTCCTTGTACATTTGTGTGTGGACATGAACATATGGGGGTGCAGAGAGAGGGTATTATGAGAAGGTTCATGAATCTCCTAGAGCATGAGCTCTTTGGATCCTTTCCACAAGGGCGAAATGATGGGTGGTGGAGAAGGTACATTTTTTGTGTGTGTGGCTGACAAAATGCAGCAGGACATGAAAATCTGGAAGAACATCCTTCCCTGTACCTTAGGCACCTTGGGAAGTAAACACCTTCTCTGAATATCCCTGTATCAGATTTGTCCTGGCCTACCACATCCTGCCTTGACAGAATACTATTTTTTCTTGACTCTACTTCACATGCAGACAATATGGTGGGCATCTTTCATGTAGAGAATACTTTTATATGGAAAGATCCTCGGGAAAATGGAAGATGAAATATGGTAGCATAGGTACTGCCCCCAGAGCTTCTGGAGGAAACTGGCTACTGCTACTGTCACTTGAAAACTCTCTCTGCACTCAAATCTGCAACCTGTGATTTTTTTTTTTTGTCCCTTTAATGATTTTAATTATGCTGCAGTCCATTTAAAGAGATTAGTAATTTTGTGGAAGTGTAGATATGAACAAATCTCACCATTCAAGGAACACAGAGTAGTTACTTCCTTATGAGGTCTGGGCAGGTCATGAGATCTAGGGTTCAACTGAGGCTGTTGGGCTGGTGTTTATCTGGATGCTTACTAGGAAGCCTGTCCTAAGAAGATGGCAGAACAAACAACCATTTCTAAAGAGTGCCTGCTGCAGGCTCTAACAAAAAGACAGTACCAGTGCAGCTAGGGGCCCAATGTGAGTCCAAATGAATCCAATATACCTGTCCATAACTGATAAAGTAGCTATGAGGAATGTCAGGGATGTATTTGGGGGAGAGCTTTGATTGAAGGAGAAAGGCTTTTTCCAAATATAGTGTGGGATGGGAAAGCTTGGTATGGTTGGTGTGTACACGTGCCTTTGCCTCTCTGACCAAAACAGCTGCCTTGAGCCCCAGCAAAGAGGCCACAGTGGAAGCTAGCAAAGATGCTTCCAGCAAGGATGCATGGGATGAAGGGACATAGACTTCCCTGCATGAAGGATCCAGGTGACAAGGGAGAGATCACATGTTGGTAAAGGAGCAGACTCTTCTTTCCCACAGAGACTGCAGAGCAGTTTGGATTTGGTCACCAGCTGCCAGTAATGGTGACCAATACTGACAGCACCAACAGTGGTGAAGATGGCCAAATTGTAGTGGGCAGCAGGGGTCGAAGGCATGCTGTGCTCTCAGGCAGCTTTCACGTGAGGCACCAGATAAAGGAGTCCTGAGGACTGTCGGTGACCACCTGTCCTACTCCCTGGGCTCTGAGACACAGTTGGGAGAAGCCTGGAAAGAGCCTTTTATGAATTGGGGAAGCTGTTCTCGGTGTGATCCTAGCTCCACAGGTATAGGGTTGTGGAGATTTTCAGGTGTACTCTTTTCTCCAGGGACTTACTAATATGTAAAATTTGGGAATGTGAAAAAATGGTTACAGAGCACCTTTTCAATATCATACCTCACTATTGTCTAGCAAGACTGCTAGGATCGCTGAAGAATGTAACACCACATTATCTTTATCATTGCTAAGGGTCCAACACTGTAAATTAGATATTGATTTGTAGAAGACTTAATACCATTCAAATGGTATTCGGTTCAGTGGAGAAGTACCTCAAAGATTATAGTTTGTTTCAAGACTCTATTGGTCTATTTTACATTTTTTTGAAACTTTGTTTTGCTTTGTGTTTTGAGACAGGGTCTTGCCATGTAGTTCAGGCTGGGTTTGAACTCCCTATGAAGCTCAGGTTGGCCCAAACACTCCTGTTATCCCAGCACAGAAGATGTGGTTTTCTTTTACAATGGAGAACTACTCTGCCATAAAGGAGGATAAGCTACATTTCTAGCTAAATGGATGCACCTTGAGATCATACTCTTAAGTGAAATAAATCAGGCACACATGTTGAAATACTGCATTGTTTCTCTGGTATGAGAAACTAAAAATGTAAATAAGGACCGAAATGTATAATAGATATTGGGAAATGGGGAGGAAATGTTCAAATGAAAAGGGGAACGACGGAAAGGGGAAGGAAGGAAGCAACCAAAAAAAAAAAAAAAGAGAATAGGAGGAAAAAATAGTAATAAGGCTCTTATAAATCAGGAGGGGAAGAGAAAGTTGAAGGGAGGGGAGGAGAATAGGATAAAAGCAAGATATATCATGTACAGATACATATTCCCTACAATGAATGTGATCATTATGAATATCTAAAATATATCAATAAAAAATCCTGTTGGTCATTCTACTTTAGCAAACTTATCCCAGCATCCCCTCACTGACCATGTTTGACTGCTTTATGTAGTCCTTTGAGCTAGGTTGACAACTTACTCATGAATGAGTTAGTAAGTCTTCAATGCTGATTACTCAGTGGAAGGTTTAGGGTCATATCACCTTGAAAACATCTTACCAAGACAAAAACAAAAACAAAATCAAAATCAAAGCCAAAGCCAAAAAACACAGATTTCCACACGGGCACATGGTGTGACACTTAGGACCTAGGTTGAATTTCGGCTTATCCTCGACACTTTGGCCAGGCACTTTGGGCAGGCAACAAGCTGCCTAACTGTATGTGGCAGCCCTGGTGGCCCTAGAGATCCTAAATTGTATGGATATGGGCAAACATCAGCAACTTTTGGCTACCATAGTTAGCCCAATTTTTATCTATAATCCAATTTATATTTACATTTTTTTCCTCTAGAGTCATGTTTTACCTATCCTATATTTGAGTACCTAGTGTTCCTTCAAGGATGGCAGGACACTACAAACACAGTGGACACTGGGGAGGTGAGCATGCTCTGGTTCTCTTCTCCCACAGCAAAACCCTCAGGACATATGTGCATACGTGTTTGAAGTTCCTGAAGGGCACAAACTGGACGATGTCTCGAAGGACAGGCTCTCCCTTGGGCGACCTCAGAATCCCGTCGTCACCATCCAGCATCTGCATGTCACTGAAGTCAGCGTTCCCCACGCCCACAATGATGACAGACATGGGGAGGTGGGAGGCATGGACGATGGCCTCCCGAGTGTCAGCCATGTCTGTGATGACACCGTCCGTCAGGATTAGCAGGATGAAGTATTGCTGTTGTCAGATGCCAGGGGACAGAGGGGATGGGGAGCGGAGGAGACAAGCACAATAGGATACCATTAGGCACCTAGTGGTTTCATTTCCTGGTGGTCATAGCAGTAGTGATGATAAACATTGTTTGACTACCTTTACTGAGTAGTCCTAAAGGCTCAAGGTTATGGTGAATGGAGCTTAAAGGGCATAGTATTTATAATTATCACCTTACTGGCAGTTACAAAGCACAGTGTAGTAGAAAGAGCAGGAGACAGGAGTCAGGAGAAAATCCTTTACTACTTCTGGGTCTTAGTTTCTTCATTTCTCAAATGAGGGGTAGAGAACATTTATATGATTTCTATGATTTATATATAAGATCATTTATATGATTCTTTTCAGTGTGAAGATTCTCCATACTTGAAAGCTATGCTGTTCCATTCAGTGAGCAGCCTAAAGGAACTATTGAGCCTGGGGGCCAGGGATTCGGCTCAGGGGCACCGTGCCTGCCTCACAAGTACAAGGTCTTGAGTTCAATCTCTGGTACCGCAAAACAAACAAACAAATAAGCAAACAAAAAACCAAGGAACTATTGAGCTTGTGATATTGGCTAGAGTAATAGAGGAATTTAATTTTTAATTTTAATGAATTTAAATTTAACTTAAAAGATGGATACCCAAGATTAAAATTCTCTGTGCTGGGGATCTAGCACAGTGGCAAGATCCTTGCTTAGCTTGTGTGAGACCCTGAGTTCAATCCCTAGCACAGGAAAAATAAAAAATCTAAGTTGCTAAATTTCAAAGGAGAAAAGCTGAATAGAAGAGTCATATTTTGAATAAATCTTGTTTTGAGAATCATACACTTTAAAGACTGCAAATATAAGAAAATGACTCGAAGTAGCTATGCTTCAATAAAACTTAATGGACACCAAAATTGGAATGCCACAAAATTTTCATGTATCACAAGATATTTTCTTTTGTTCTTTTTTTTTAGTCATTAGAACAATAAAGACTTTTTTTGATTGTAAGCCACTGAAAACCGAGCTGTGGGATATGTTTGTTGTCCCTTGAGCTAGAGCAGGGACTGTGGGGCTAGATTTGGGTCTAGGGAGTGCTGAAAGATTTTAGGTAGCTTGTGAACGTGGGGTAAATCCTGCCTTATATTTTCACTTCTTTATGACCAAAATGGATATTTTTAGTTATAAATATAATCATTAAAGTAGTACTAGTTATATCTGTGACTTAGCTATAGAAATTACAGATATTTCCTGTTATATTACAATGGCTACAGATCTTTCAGTGTAATATTTATACTTAATACTATGAATAAATTATAAAATTATTAGACTGGGTCTGGTTTTTATGACCTAATATGTAAATAAAAGAAGCATTTTGTTAATATATTTATAAGCTTCTATAACACTTTAAGAAGTACTTTGCTAACTTGCATTTTAATATAATTATTTTATTTTGTACACTTAAAAACACTTCTGAAAAGGGGTATATGGGCTTTACCAGTTGCTAAATGGGTCAGTGGAACAAAAATCGTTAATAACCCCTGGTCCAAAAAGATTGTCAGGATTCATGAATCGTCACTTTCAGGCTTAATCTAGTTAGGGATAATGAGCTACAGACTGCTTGCTCTAATCCTTGATGGCAAGTTCTTATAAAGCTAGCAGCAACAAAATTTGGAAGCTTGGAAAAATGCTTATAGAGGAAATATTAATCTTTGAATGTACATAGGTCCTACTGGGATAAGGGGGGGCTTTTTTTTTTCCTAGAAGATTTCCACAAAATCAAGGAAAAAAATCTTACAGCAACAGACTGCCTGGCACAGTTTGCCTAAAAAGTTTAAACTCGTGACAAGGGATCTTGGATCTAGAGATTTAACATTTCGAAGTCAGGAGGAGAAGGAAGAGGGGAGAGTGGTGGAAAGAACCTGGTAAAGAGTCGTCAGTGAGACGAGGAAGACAGGTGAAGATGTATTTAGAGAGATGTGATCACCTGGATCAAAAGCCACTGATGCGTCAGGATGAAGCCAGGTTCAACCCCTGGGTTTGGCAACATAGGGTACTTTGGACTTTGGCAAGTGTAGTTTTCAATGTCATATTGCTGAGGAAAGACTGATGGGTTTGGATGGAGGAATGAGAAAGGAGGTGGAGACAGTGAGCATAGACCACTCTTTAATGAATTTTTTTTTTAGAGGGGTAGAAAGTGTGGATAGTTTCTTAAGGGTAAAATGAGGTCAAAGGGGAGAAGATTGTAGTGTAAACAAGAGATACTATAAAATATTTACTTGCTAATGGGAATGATTCTCCACTAGAAAAGGGAAAACAGGGAGAAAGAGCAAGAAAATAAGTTCTGAGTCAGTGTCCTTGGATAACTGAGAGGGGACATGCTCCAGTCCAGAAGAGTAGAGGTGGACATTGGGTAGAATTGTGGTCTTCAATCCGTTCTAGGAAGGAGTAGGAGCACAGGTACAGTACAAATAGGTTAGATGAACTAACATAAGAACATGGGCATAGAATATTATTTTCTTTATGGAAATATTGGAACGTGGGATCAAATTACATAGAAAATTTCGAGCATCAGTGAGATTTTACTAAACTTTTAAAAAGGCATGATGCTAAAAGGAAATATATTGGTATCATTTAAGATAGCACACTGAAAAGTTATTGTGGTAATACAGTTACTTGTAAAAATAGTAGGGAAAAGGATCAAAGTTTTTTTGGCCTTGTAGCCTTGGTTTGATTTTTCTTAAAGAAATAAAAAGGAAAAGAAGAGAAATGTGAAATCAACATTTGCTGTGATATTTTGTACAGCTGAACTTTATCCAGAATGTAGGATCATCTATTGTTTAATTTTTCTGGTGCTTTCCTTCCATCTGTAGTATGAGTACACTGGAAAGCTGGCCTTTTTTTCTTTCTTGAGACAGGAGGTAGGACACATCTCAGCGAATATAGCAGCTTCCACTCTTGAATCTCCTGTGTTCAGACATTGGATGTGTTTTCTCTAAGACTCACAACCCAGCAGAGTTGGATTTAATTATCTCCATTTTTCATGAGGAGACTGAAGATAAGGGAAGGTAGGCTAAGTCACTGGTCCAATTTCACACAGGTTGAAAAGCTGGAATTTATTGTCAGACTGAGACAGTTGTTATACCCAGGTGAGAAAGAGTAGACTCCATTAGCAGGTGAGCTGCCTTTCTCCTTACCGATGCCTCCTTGGTGTTGGTCTCCTCTGATGCTGACTTGGCAACCTTCTGAATGATGGGAGCAATGTTAGTAGGGCCATAGAGCTGGAGCTTAGGAAGACAGCTCTGATAGGCTTCCACAACTCCTTGAATCCCTAGGGCAAAATTGGCAAAGATCAATAGTTCGACAGTCCCTTCAAATACATTGACAACTACGCACTTGTGCATGCACAGATAGACAAAAATGCACATGCCATAAAGCATTACATTTGTCTAAATAGTCTTCATCAACATCACATTTATATTCTCAAGATTAAAAGGAATACTACATCACTCATGTTGCTGCTCCTGCCCCGCTGAAATCATTCTCCTATTTAAAGGCTAAAATGAAAAGCAAATATTTCCACAAACTTTTCCCTGATATCCTATTTGACACACAAGATTAGACCCTTATAGCAACATGAAACAGATTTTATACCCATTTTATAGGCAAAGAAGCAGAGGCTTGGAGAGGTTAAATGAATTGCCCCAGGGTAGACTGCAAGTGAGGTATAGACATAGGATCTAAACTCAGGTCTGTCTGAGCTGTGCTTTCAGCCCCTAAGCAAATTGGCTTTAATTCTTCTTTATTCACACCACCTTACTGACTCTAGTATGTCCTACCTGGGCCACCCGGAAGAGTTATGTGTACATATGGCCATCTCTCCTTTTAGGCAAGAATTACTCATTTTTGTGTTACTCCAAAGAACTTCAGGCAGTGTTGAGCAAAGGTAAGTGCTCACCAAGGGCATGATGGGTGAGCAACATGGCTAGTGTCTCCTCTTCTGGGGGTGGGAGCACAGGTGCGTGATGTTCACTACCATTGTCAATCTGTCCTTTAAAGGGGGGATCCAATCTTGAGGCCGTGGGAGCTGCTGGGAGAGGAACCCCGGCCTGTGCAGCTTCCCTATCATGTGATGAGTCTTGACCACATTTCATGCTATAAATGCGATCCCACGGTAAGAGTGGGATGCTCCCCTTGGTGTGTCTGTGTTCCTGTGACCTCTTGCTTTTTCCTGTTTCAGCTCATCCTCCTAACCCTTTCTATTCCAAAAACAGCACACTGTTCCTGATTTTAGCCAGAGGGATCCACACAAGCTACTCTTGATATTTTGTGCTCCTTTGTCACCATGCACTGCCCATCAGCTCTTGGGTATTCTGGATAAGAAAGTTCAATTCTGTTCTGCCTTATACATATACTTCCAACTTTATTGGAAAGATTGCACCAGCTTTGTCCTGCCTCAAGTAGAGATGCTTGTCATTCTAAAGACAGGTGCCAAATTACAATGATGCTGGATTCTGAAGTTAAATGAGGCCAAATGAAAGCTCCTTATCATTTTTTTGGTTTCAAGTTTTTGCTTAAATTAAGCAAGTTTGTTTCCCTTTCAAAAACATCAGGCAGATGAATTCCAAGCCTGTGAAACCATAAGCAACTTGGGCATGTATTTCATTCTTCTTTGGTGGAAAACTACTTTTATTGTTAAAAGAGTGGGGGTGGCTGGGAGATGGGAGTGTAAATCATAACAAACTAGTTGGGGAAGAGTAAGGGGAGGGAATAACAGCAGACTGGGGATCACATCTCACAGATTACTATCTTCAGACTCAGTGATACAGATATCATATTCTAGGACATCAAGTTCAAGTTTGTGAAATAATTTACTGGATGCTATACATACTCCACTGGATCTGAATTAATCCTGGTGCAGCCTCCCTCCTTGACAAGGAGGAGGAGAGAAATATGGATACCCTAAAAATATCTTACAACCTTCATACCAACAAATGCATTTGACTATTTATTTGGAAAATTTGAAAGAGAATTCTAGAACAAAATTTATCACCATGGCTTCAGTATCATTTTGTGTAATCATATAGAACAACGTCTGACTGGAAGTAATGAAATGTAGAAGAAGCAGAGCCTCTGAGAAAGCTTTTCCTGGCACAACACCATGAAGATTCATGTTCAGAATCACTAAGGCCATTTTCATTGCGAACAGGCTGAAAGTGTCAAGTGATTTCCATTTCCCCCTATCCTTATACCTGGACAGAGAGAAAACTGAAAAATAAATCTGAGGCAAAAACTTGGAAAATAAAAGAAGGATGTCTCACTACTACAGAGTAAGTAAAAACTGCTTTCTCCTTCTCCTCCTTTCCCTTCCCCTTCCCCCCTCCTCCTCCTTCTCCTCTTTCTTCTTTCTTTCTTTTTTTCTTTTTTATTTGGCCAGAGGAAATCAAGTTTGACATCTTGCTGCAAGCAAATCATTTCTGCATTCTGTCTTTTCCAGCTTTTATTTTCTTGCTTTGTTATTAGGCTTCCCAGTTGCCTTTGGAATACCGTAGTTTGCTGTGATCCAGAAAGCCTACTCTGCTGCTGACAGTCAATGCTATATCAGTGAAGAGAAACTAACCCTGGGAAGATACACACTAGGCTACGTGACACTGGCTTTCTTTCACACTGTGATTTACCTGCACACTCTGGGTTGTCTTCATTAAAGTTGATTGCAAAGTCATGAGAGACCTAGACACCAATTAAAATTTAAAGAAGGAAGAAAAGAGAATTACAACTTGAATCCAATAAGAATGCACCAGGATGTGGAGTTTGCAAACAAATGTGGTTGCATTCGTTATGTGTTAAGCAGCAGGAACCATTTTAAGCCATTATCCAATCAATCTCAGATAGAGGGTGAATCCTAAGCTCCCTGTGGAGCTGAGGTGACAGGAAGATTTTCTAAAATCTAGATAAATGCTGGCAGTAAGGGAAAATGAGACATAAAAATCCAAGAAATAATTTCAGAAAAAGGTATTCCAAACAACTTCTGGATAGAACGAGCTATAGACTGGAGGCTGAGATTTGGGTGAACTCTATTTGGATTCAGTGACTAAAAGAAATAACTCATTCACCCAAGCTGTTTTCTTAACATGGTAATGCTTATAAAATTTCCAGCCAAGCTGTTGAAATTTAAGAATCATTCTAATGCAATAAGCAGAACTACATGGCAGGAAGATTTTCACATATATACAGGTAAAACATAATTCCACTTTTAAAAAACTAATAGAGTAATACATATACCCTGAAATCTTCCAACACAAATCTCTCTACCTGACAGGAACTATGCATAAGGCCAAATGACTCATCACTTATTTTTTTTTCTTTCCAAATACAGTACTTGATAAAAGAAATGGGATGCCTGGCATCTGGACATATTTCTTGAATCATATGATGGGGAATTTCATTTCAAAGGCTATTTCTGAGCACCAAGCCCCTTGGGTGCTATAAAATAGGTTACTGTGTTACAAGGCACCTCCTTTCTTTCTTGAACCACTGAGCTAAATCCCTGGCCCAGCATCTCCTTTCTTACTGGGTGATCACAGAGAAGACTGTTGGTGCCTGTTTTATATTCCCCTGTCCTTTGTGCTTGCTTTATTTACTTTAGGGTTTTCTCTACCTCTGGCGCTTGCTTTGTTGCCCAAGAGACAAGATTAAAAATATTGAGGAAAATGTCCCTTAGGAATAGCACACTGTCAGTGACTGACAGAATATGGTGTAGAAGGAGCCCAACCCCCTTATTTCTTGAGGTCTGTGTATACTCTGTGTTGTCTCCAACCACACTTTAGCAGGGTTAGGCTCCAATTGTACTTCTCCAGGAACAGTGGTAACTGGCTTGACTTCATTGTTTCCTCACTCTGTTGAGGTCTCTTCCACCTCTCAAGGATACTACTTACATCATAAATCTCAAGTCTCCAGGTCTGTTCCTGGAGGAGTACAAATAAAAAGAGAGGAGCTTTGCTTCAGTTTCAGTGAGTGCAGACTCAGTTTGTCCTAAACGAGTAACCATAGTGGCATAAACTCTCCAGGTATGCCTTGGCTACTTGGATCATTAGTGCCTATCTGGAGTAGAGGAGAAATTAGGGATGAAAAGCGGGTATTTGAATGGCTTTTGTGGGCTAGAAGTGGGTAAACACGAGAGATGCTTGTTGGGATGGTAGAAAGAAAAGTTAGCTGACAGGCAGGATGGAGCCAAGAGATCAGGCAAACATGAGAACTTCAGAAAATAACTTTTTACTCCAGTAGAGGAATCAGTAAGATGTCATGGATGAGAAAAGGAAAGTGTAGAACAGGTGTGCTGCATAGCTGTGTCAGTGAGACTGGGTCGAGCTAATGCTGGGGGAATACCTGGCACGGTGGAGGATTCCCAAGCACCTCTGAATAGTCAGGCTATTGAGATACATACCAGTTTTGATGCTCAGTAGCTCTGTGAAGTAGGAGGGCACAGACCTATGCAGATTATGAAACTGATAGCCCATCTGAAGAAGACTTTGTCTCTTTTACTCTAGTCAGTTATATTATGTGTCATCTTTTAAGCTTAGTGTTGCTAGGTTTTCAAGTTTTTAAAAGAAGCTAGAGATCAGACATTGTATATAAAATTGCCTAGTTCTGTAATTAACAAGAGTGTCAAATATGCTTTGTGAGAATAATGTCTACAGGACACCAGTCAATAAATCCTATTCTATAGTCTCCTTCATGTGCTATATTTCCAATAAATGCCTCTAGAATTCTATAGCTATGCCTAATGCGGAGGCCAGTAAGGAAGCAAACAGACTGGGAACAAGTCAAGGAGATCTGCCACTTTGTCCACTGCTAACCCCAGTAGTCACAGGGAGATGGGCTCTTTCAAAGAAAGAGACAAAGGGGTAGGCCTTTATCTGACAGTTCTGATGAGGAAGCAGATATTGGCATTTGCCTCCTAACCTGTAGCTCAGATATAGTCTATAAAAAAGATACTGGTGATTGGGCAGTGGTGCTTGTATTTTGCTTAGACCTCAGGTATTGGTGGGATAAAGGCTGTGGCGAGGACCTTGCTGCCTTGTGAAGGTCCTGCCTGCCTAGAGGGTGGAATCCTCATGGGGTATGGACCCCAGGAACATCTGGTAGACTACAGAAGTGTACCTCACCTCTATTGCAATACACATCTCTCTCCCTACCCTCTTTGCCTCAACTCCCCTGCAGTGCATATCTCTCCACACACTGTCACTGGGTCTTGAGAAATCAATGCCAAATACAAGTAGAATTCCAGGGTCTTCACAAGACCTCTTCACCTTTTAGTCATCTGAAGCTGCAGTGCTTCTTTCTTTAGGGCTTCCTCTGTGCCTCACATCCAAGACTGACGCACAGAGACTTGGGATGAGTGAGTCTGTAGACTTTATCACCATGGATTTTCACCATTGGTATTACCAGTGGGATTTTTCCCTAGGGAGATCTGAGTGGCTTTGACTCCCGTAAATCAATATTTTGAGCATTTTCTCAGTTTCCGACCACATCTACGGGACATGTAACAATGGGACCCTTCCTCTGGACCCGTAGAAGACTCATCCAAAATACCTGGAAATTGAATCTCAACAGAGGTTAGTTTGGAGGAGCTAATTTCACTGGTTCTGAAGACCTTTCTGACTCTTTGGACCCCACTTATATAGTTTTGTCAAATGCCAAAAGTGAGACTGCTGTGAAAGAAATCCAAATTATCCACGGACTACAGCAAAGCGAAAGATCCCGTCTTCACTCACCGTGTACTCTGGGGGTATTCTGGCACCAAACCCAAAGGCTGGGAACATTTTGTCACTGAAATTAAAACAAGAAAAAGAGCAAAAGAAGAAATTGCTTTATTTGTTCATCTAATGAGGAAGAGAAACGTGAACTTGCATATAACCTCACTAGATAGTGTACTCTGGGGGTATTCTGGCACCAAACCCAAAGGCTGGGAACATTTTGTCACTGAAATTAAAACAAGAAAAAGAGCAAAAGAAGAAATTGCTTTATTTGTTCATCTAATGAGGAAGAGAAACGTGAACTTGCATATAACCTCTCAAGATGTTCTTACACTGAAGGCTGGCTTATGCTTCTAGATTACTTGTGGTAATGGAGGATATCCAAAGTAGGCATAATTAACAATTAAAAATAATCCCCTACATTCATTATAGTCATTAGTCTATATCTTTTTCCATTAACTTTTTGCTAGATTTTATACCAAATATTAAACTGGCCCCAGATTTTACACACCCCACCCCTACTCCGACATTCTGTTTCCTATGAAAAGTGATCCTGAATTAGGTAACAGCTACAATAGAATATATTAGGAACTTTCATATAGATAATCTTTAAAATGTTTTTAAATGAGAAACTATTGTTCCCATTTGGCCTATGGACAAACTCCTGGAGGAGTAATGTGACTTGCTCATGATGATACTGCTAATTAGAGCCGGGGGATCAGACATAGAAAAGCTTGAATTTAAGGAGATGTTAAAAAGCAGTCCAAAGATTATAAGTCTGGCTACTTGACAGAGTATAGTTTCACTTATTCATTGTGTCCACCACCTTGTCACATACAAGCATCTATAAATTATTTATGTCTTTCCTTATTTCCTGAACTCAAAGGAACTCTGTCTTTTGTATTAACAACTTTACCTCTCCACTCTTCTCTTCCCCTAACTGCCCTCATTCCTACCTTCATCATTGTACCTGCCATAGAACATGTGCCCGACAAGTAGTCGATGATTAGATAATCCATGAGTGTAATCTTGCAGATAAGGCCATCTAAAGAAGTTAAAATTCTTATGAGAATGCATGAAAGTCACATACATATCTTCTTGCTTGATTTTTCTAATGCACATTGGAATTTTTCTAAGTTATTCATTCATGTGTATTGTAGCTTTATTATACTATTGGCGAGTGGGTGGAGAAAAGAACAATTAACATGTATTGGCATATGCACTGTGCCACGAGCATGCTAGGTGATGCACATGTTTATTTAATTCTCACACAAACCTGGAACTTTCACATATTCTTTCCACTTCATAGACAGATACATGAAATCTCAGAAAAGCTCTATGGACTAAAGTGATTACCAAGGAGTACTGTGTGAGTCCAAAGCCCAAGCCTTTCCTATGACAGCATTGTAATTTAATGATTGTATGCAGTACTGAATGTGATTTCCTAATTCTAGAAACCAGGCTTCCTGACTAGACAACAGACACCTCCCTTAAGTAGATAAGTGTTGTCAGGGAGGTACTGCAGTGGGCCTCTGGAATACTGATCTATCTCAGCAGACGGCGTGTCCTTCTTAGGCCATACATCTTTTACTTCCTCTCCCATTAAAAACACAACTGTGAGTTTTTCCTGGAGCAATACCTACATTTATCAGTTCTTGATAGTTGGGAGGGAAAAGAACTCAGGGCTCACTCCTGAATATCTTCTACAAGCAAAAGGGAGTATCACTCCTTCCCCCTGGTTCATTTGACACAATCGACATAATGAAGCCACATGCTCACCCATCACCACCTGATTTAGAAGTCATTAGTAAACACTGACGGTGTTAGCAAAACTACCAAAGTACTGTCGACTTGAAACACTTTCAGTTACAGATGTAAGGAAGCCAGCATTCTTTGAAACCAAAGTCTCAATTCCCTAGAAAATCACCAGCTTCGCCTTTTCTTCATCATTGTGCTGATCCAGGTTTTGCTGTGCATTGCGTTGAGCAGGTATCAGAGAAAGTATTCATGCTGATAAATAGAAACTTGCAAGAGTTTATAAAAGATTAGCCATGGCCCTGAGAAAATATACTTCTGGTCCTTGGAAATATTGAAATACTTTTCTTTGGCAATTTTGAAGGGTGAGGGGAGAGACTTGTCAGTAAATTTAGAGGAAAGGAGCTGTCTCTTCAAACTCAAAGATGGCTCAGAAGTCAAAACAAAGAAATCTGGGAGGCTCCACATGCTTTATTGTCTTTTTTGATTAGATCTAATATTCTATCCATTTCTAATCACTGAACCAGTGTCTCAATCTTAATGATATTCCTTTTATACCCTCTAAGCCACCCTTTGGGATTTCAAATTTTCAGATACGATACATTGTTATGTAATTGAGTTTCAAGAATAAGAAGGTAGGGAAAATGTCTCACCTACAAGAAGAATAATTAATGAACCAGGAGGGATAAATTCTCTGAAGTTAGCCACCACAAAATCTCTAACTAATAAATATACTGAAGAAAAAATTTCAAGCATAAGCACAATAGATTTAAACATCCATTCTTACTGTTTTAAAATAAAACCAGGCAGGAGGAGGTCTTATGCAAGAAGTATGAGAAGACAGGTTGAGCTCAAAAGAAAGGATGCCAAATTTTGAAATGCCATATCATCACACATGAGTAAAGGCAATACTTGTTACTGTTAGAATGAAATAATAAAATACAAAAAAGGGGCCCATGTTCTTCAAGGGTAATGAGTCTTAGGAAATAACCATATCAAGTGTTCTCCACATAGAAAATTATTTTGTTTTTGTTTTTTGGTTTTTTTTTGGGGGGGAATGCTGGGGATCAAACTCAGGACCTTGTGCTTGCGGGGCAGGCACAGTGCCACTGAGCTAAATTCCCAACCCTAGACAATTCATTTTAAACCAACATTTTAGCTCCAACTATTAAGAAAAACACTGAGTTAAAGCAAGACGTTAATAAAATCAAATTAAAAAATCACTCTATCATGGGGATTTAATGGTATTTCAAAGCACCTAGACATTTAATAAATACTATTTTTTTAAAGTGGCCATCTTAAAATTAAGGTAGATGGAAATGGAAAGCCCTTCTGGAGGTATGAGGGCGTGACTTTTTTCTTATTTGAAGGAACATCAGTATTCATTTCCTCTACTCCTGTATGTATTCTCTGCTGAAATTGATCTTCTGTGAGTACCTATGAGGGAGAGATCTGTTCTCCATATATACTTTTCCTTTCACAATTGCCATTTTTCTTTACCTGTTCTGAATCTTAATTACCACGGCACATTGCTTCAGTGTATAAAAATTTTGCAGCATCAAACAAAAGAACAATTTGAAATGTGAATGAGTCACTAGGAAACAAATCCTTTTGCAATTAGGTAGTTGGCAATTTTCACTTTACAAAAATTGTAAGAAGAGAGCCAGGGATTTATCTCAGTGGCGCGGAGCCTGTCTTGCAAGTGCAAGGTTCTGAGTTCGATCTCTAGTACTGCCAAACAAAACAAAATGTTATCAGCTGGTAGATCATCAAAAATACATTTTGATTATTGATCTTTTTTTTGGTATAAAACTTGGAATTGAAGGAAATTAGTAACATTACTAATCAAACTCTTTCTATTTCCATATTCTTATTTACAAGAAAAAGTTTTCTTAGGATTTTTCTTGACAACAACAAAAAAATTGAGAGGGGAATGGAATTAATATGAGAAGAAGAAAAAATGGATATAAAGTCTTTGTAGATAGGGAGGGGTGGAGGGGTTGAAGGGAGGGCAGGGCAATGGGGAAAAAATAAGAACCAAGATGGATTATGTAAAGGTGCAAATTTCCAATGATGAATGTCATTATATTGTATACCTTAAATGTACCAATAAAATTAATTATTTTTTAAAATATTAGGCTTAAGTTGATGCTAGACTCTCCCATCTAATGATAAGTAGCTCTCATCCATATATATATA